TTTGTTACTCCTTGAAAATCATCCTGAACGCCAGTGGAAAGACACCGTAGGTTGATTTTAACATCTCAGACTATAGTACAACGACTTTTAATTGCCATACATTAGTAAATTTGCTTCTCTGTCTTAGGGTGTTCACAATTGCTTCTTAAACAACCACTCTTAAGGTATTAATTAAAAGTGTGCACCAATGGCCTTATATGTATGTATGGATGGATGGATGGATGGATGGATGGATGGATGGATGGATGGATGGATGTATTTTAATTTATATGCTGACCACACTACCCAAAGGTTTCTGGGTGGCTTGCAACAATTAAAATACAGTGGAGGTCATTAATTCATAAGGTTTTTCCATAGCTCAGTGGACATTCGATGGCATATTAGAATTGACCTCCAAGATCGGACAGACAAAATGCCCAGCGCTACAAGTTCTGGTGGGGGGGGGGAATTAAGAAATAAATAAAATAGAAACAAATAAAAAATTAAGAAATAAATAAAACAGAAACAAATAAAAAATTAAGAAATAAATAAAACAGAAACAAATAAAAAATTAAGAAATAAATAAAATAGAAACAAATAAAAAATTAAATAAATAAAATAGAAACAATATTTTTAAAACAAAAAACAGAAACAAATAACATAAAAAGGAGAGAGAGAGAAGCATCTACGCCCCCACGTTCCTGGAACGAACTTCCACCGCGCATGCGTCTTTGAAAGCTGTCGTTTATTTTTTTAATGACTGCGGGGCAAGCTCCGTTGATGGCTTGGGAATAAATGTGGTAGCTGTGTATTCTTCTAATTTAGCGACAGGAGTTGTAGAGTTTAGAATTTCTGGTTAACTTCCTCTGTGCAGCAGAAGTGCAGGGATTCGCGGAACAGAACTAGCTTGAAGTTCCCCAGATGAGTCCACCCCTTTCTCTCATCAGCCAAACACTCAATAACTCGCTCAGAGACATTAGTAGGAAAAAAAGAATGAAATGCTCAGTTTACTTACAGTGAATAGGAAACAGCAAATTAAAAACGTGACTGCTTTGAGCAACAGGCCTCCGGAGACTTGATACCAATAGAAAGCAAGAGAAGGGAAAAGGCTCTTAGCAGAGAGGCGGGGCTCTCTTTAATTCAGAGGCAAGGGTATACAGTGGCGCCTTGCTAGACAGTTACTCCGCATGACAGTTTTTTCGCTAGACATTGACTTTTTGCGATCGCTGTATTTATTCGCAAAAAAGTTTCTTCGCAGTAGACACAACGTATGTGATGAAGAAACTCGCGCTCTTAGTTTTTCCCTACGTGCATCAGGTAAGACGTTACCTTGTCTCCTCGGTCCAAAGCAGCTAAGCCCCTGTGGGGACAGGATGTAGGGCTAAGCGTGGCTTTTGGGCCCAATCCACCCTAGGCTCCTTCTGGATTTTTTTTTCTCAGTGGCGGTCATTAAGAATGGAACCTCCTGCCCAGGGGACAGTCTACCTCTTGATTCCAGTTGTTAAGGAATCACAAGCTGGAGACGGGCATTGCATCAAAGTTTGGCTTAAATGGCTAACAGAATACAGTGGTGCCTCACTTAATGAGCACCCCGTTTAACGATGAATCCGCATAGCGATGGAGTATTTGCGATTGCAAAAGCGATCACATTGCGATGTTTTAAATGGGGGAAAATTGCTTTGCGATGATCGTGGGGAAGCGCTTCCCCACGATCATCCCAAAGAGCCCCGAAGCACAGCTGATGGGCAGGGGGGGGTTGCAGGGATCGCGGGAAAGCCAGCTTCGCAAAACCCCCGCCAACTTCGGTGTTCTCTCCCTCTCCCCCCTCGCAACTCCAGCCTGGGCAGGGAGACCCTGGCCTCAGTCTCCCTGCCCACGCTGGACCTGCAAGGGGTGGAGAGAGAGAGAGAGAGCGCCAAACAGCTGATCGGCGGTTCCAGAATGGCCGCCCGCTGTGTTGCCTCGCTTTAGAGGCACTGAAAATGGCGGCCGGATGGAGGATTTTCGCTTAAAGGTGAGTTCCCCCCCCATAGCAACGCATTAAACGGGTTTTAATGCGTTTCTATGGTGTTTTTTTTGCCCCGCATAGCGACGAATCCGTATAGCGATGATTTTTTCAGAACGGATTATCGTCGCTATGCAGGGCACCACTGTACTTGACAAGGGCCTGGTCTTATCCAGCAGAGCTCTTTATATGGCCAAAGTGAAAATAATAAAAATAATAATCATGTGCCACCAATTCTGACCTTTTTTCAGGGTTTTCCAGGTAGAGAATCCTCAGAGCTGCTTTACCTTTACCTTCCTCAAGGGGGAGCCCTGGGACGGTGCAGCTGGCCCAAGGCTACCCAGGCTGGCTCTCCTCTTCCCGGGAGTCCCATTGTGGGGGAATCGAACACCCAACCTCTGGCTCCACAGCCAGAGACCTCCACCACTGATATCTCCAAAATATTGCCATATATAGAGCTGTACAGCTGAGTGTTTTCGGACAGCCGCCACCCTAAATCAGTAAAATACTTTGAAATGCACAGTGGGCTAGGATGTTTAATTTTTGATGTGCATAATTTCCATTCGTACCTGTTTTTTTCTCCTTCCGCAGAACTGGGAGGTTCGCTACCACAGAGATGTCCCCCTCCCTCCACGCCAAGATGTCAACGCTCCGGACCTGTATATTCCCAGTAAGCGAGCGATTGTCTTTAAATATACTGTTTTCAGTTGTTTGAGATCTGTTTTTCTTAGGCCTGATTCTCTTTTCCTCTCTCCCACGAACCAAGAGTTGTTTTTGCCTTGTCTTGTTGAAACAGTGCAAATCGTGTCGACTTAATCTTTGGTTTGATCCTGCAGGGCACTTTTCAGGTCTGGGGTACCTGGAAAAGATGGCTTTTAAAAGAGGCAGAGTCAAATAGGAAAAAGGGTTATCACCTACCCAGTCTGGAGCCACAACCTTGCAGTGTAGGCTAGCATTATCCTGAGAGTACAGATCCAGGCAGCTGAGACTTAAGAGACCATTGACCTGCCTACATCCGTGACTCTTTTTTTAATTAATAAGAATACGCCGCCTGATCCTATGAATATATCTTTTTATTATTATTGTTAATATTTAAGCCTCTCCAGGACAAAAATGTTGAAACAGAGGCTGTCCTGCGTCGGACACACCAAGAGAAGGCACGGTTCATGGGAAAAATACCGGAATGTTGGGCAGCAGGAAAAGAGGAAGCCCAAACGTGGGATGGATTCACTCCCTAAGAAAACCACAAGGCTGAGTTTGCAAGAGTTGAGCAAGGCGGTTGAAGAGAGGGCATTCTGAAAGTCGCTCATTCCTGGGAGTCCCAAATAAGTCACTGGATGGTGCATAACAACAACGAGGGGTTACATGTCCTTCGTTTATTCCCTTTTTGTTCATTCGTACGTTCATTCCTTTCTCTTCCTACCTTCCCTCTAAGGCATTCAAGGATGTGTATGTCATCCTCTTTCCTGTTTTGCTTCTCAACACCCCTGTGAGGTAGGATAGGCGGAGCGAGAATGACGGAGCCACGGCTGAGCCGAGTTTTAAACCAACCAACCAGCAGAAACCAGTGATCTTCGTAGATCTTCAGATTTCTGGTCGTCCTCCTTGAGCTCTCTAACCGCCGTCCTTCAACAGCACACCCTTGGGCTGTTCTCCCACTTAAGAGTGATTTTCCCCTCTCCTTCTGCAGGTATGGCCTTTATTACCTATATCCTTCTTGCTGGGATGGCTCTTGGATTACAGAAAAGGTAAATAAGGTGTTTTTCCGTGCCCATTGCTACTTTCAGGGTGTGGAGTACGGGAGTGGTTTTTAATTACAGTGGTGCCCCTCCGGCATCTTGTCAAAATTTTAGTTACTGTATTTTTCCATGTATAAGACGCCCCCATGTATAAGACACCCCCCACTGTTCTAATCCAAAATTAAGAAATCTAAGTGGAGCTTAGCAAGTGTAGGGGGAAAGGGATCGAAGCGCTGCAGGATCGCTTTGATCCCTGCTTTCCCCTCCAGTTGTTTTTGTTCTCTCCTCAGCTTACGTCCGTGTATAAGACGGCCCTCAATTTTTAGTCAAAAGATTTTAGACAAAAGTATAGTCTTATACACGGAAAAATATGGTATTTAAAAACCTGTCTTCCTTGTTTTTCTACACACAAGAATTTCATCCGGTCAACGCTGCAAAATGGACTTCTCGACCCTTTCCCCCAATGGTTTGGTGGTTCTGGTTTGTTGATTGGCCAAGCAGGGTGTTCTGTGGCTCGATGCCCTGCCTCCTCCAGCAGGCGGGCCAGTCAGAAGCCATTCCCTGGCTTCCTTGCCCCGCCTCCTCCAGGCGCTGCCCCTGAGTGGGTGCTGGGACCGACCACCTGTTTGGCTGATCAACGAACCAACACGAACCGTTTTTTCGTGCCCATTGCTGCTTTCAGGGTTTGGATTACGGGAGTGGTTTTTAATTACAGTGGTGCCTCGCTAGACGATGATAATCCGTTCCACTGAAATCGCTGTTGAGTGAAATTATCGTCTAGCGAAAAGCATTTCCCCATTGGAATGCATTGAAACCTGTTTAAGGCGTTCCAATGGGGAAGAATCGGCGTCTAGAGAAGATCGGCCATAGGAAAGCCGCTTTGCGAACCGCCAATCAGCTGTTTAAATCGCTGTCTTGCAAAGCTTAGGTCCCGAAAACACCCGTTTTGCGAGCGCGGAGGGAGCTGTCAAAATCGTCATCTAGCAAAAATCGGTTTGCGAAGCAGGGACCAAACATTGTCCAGTGAAATTCCGCCATAGGAATCACTGTTTTGCGAATCATTATAGCGATCGCAAAAAGTCAATGTCTAGCGAAAAAACTGTCATGCGGGGTGACTGTCTAGCGAGGCACCACTGTATTTCAATCGGTCTCCAGTTGTTTTTGACACTGGTTTTGCGTCGTAATATGCAGCCCTTTTACAAAGAGGGGAGTAAATAAATAAAATATGCCATGTAGGTAGGGGAAAATGTACATGTGGGAAAAGTAGCTACAAACACAGCTTAGAAAAGGGGGAAAGGACTCTGTTTTAGGGGGGAAATGCAAACATAAATCACAGCTTTTTTCTCTCTGTCCCCCCGATCTTCAAGGTTTTCTCCAGAGGTGCTTGGAATGTGTGCGAGTACCGCCTTCGTTTGGGTCGTAATTGAAGTTCTGGCCCTCTTGCTTGGCCTTTACCTGGCGACCGTTCAGAGCGATCTGAGTACGTTCGACCTTCTGGCTTACTGCGGCTACAAATACGTTGGGTAAGTCCGAAGCTGCTTGCCGAGTTACTTTTTTAAAAAGTATTTTTTTTCTTAAAGCGTGATTTTTAAAAAATAATAATAATTCAAATTTGATTGTTTTTATCACTTTTTTTCTTTTCAAATCATCCTTTTAAAATTTTAATTGAAAAAAATTAAATTGAAATGGAAAACCATGTTCAAATGTACATTTTAAAAAACTGAGTTCAGTTTAATTAAAATTTAAAAATAAAATTACTTTTTAAAATTACCATTTGGATCGACGTTTTGGGACAACGTGTTATTAGCCTCCCCGAGTAGACTTCGGTCTAGATGGGTGGGGTATATATTAAATAAATAAATAAATCCTGTAATTCTTCCTAGAATTCCTCCCCCCCCCCGCATAACTGGTGAACATTACCTTTTTTCTTACAGTATCACATTCCTTTTGTCCTAGTTCTTATTTCCTGGTTTTCAGGGGGCAGAGGAAAGAAAATTCATTTAAAAAATATAAGAAAAATGGCCTCCAATTGGAACAGGTTTCCAGGAAATTATTTTTAGTTACTGTTTCCCCCTTTGTTTTGTATGCAGAAAAATGTTGCGGGTTATGGAGTAAACAATAGCCATTGTTGTGTTATTTGCTAAAACGACGTTGCCATGCCTTCATTCTGTGAAAAATCGATTGCAATTAATGTTACTTTTAAAGTAAACTTCTGGATTCTAGATTGAGATGTTTTGCAGTAACTTTGAAACGATGGAATGGGAAGTCCCACTTTTTGTCAACTGAGACTCAGCAATGCTTTCTTTCTGAAAATCTATTCCCTTTTGGAAGATTTTAGACTCCGGCCACCATGATCCTTCATCCGTGGCCATGGGAGCCGGGGCTGATGGGAACCGCAGTCCAAAAGCTGACGCATGGTGGGTGTTGGACTACAAGGCCCATCAGCCAGCCAATCAGGGGTTTTGAACCCCCCCCCATGGAAGATCCCCAAAACAGAGAGACTAGGATAATTTTTAATATTTCAGAATCCTGTAGTTTGTGCAGCAGCCTAGATTGGGGGGTGGTGGACACACATAGGCGTTTATTTTAATTAGTTGTATCTAATTCTTCTTCCGACAAGATCAGAGGGGGTGCCTGGTGTTTTGCTCCTTTATCTTCACATCCACCTTGCGAGGCGGTTTTGGCTGGAGAGTTGCCTCAAGATCACCTACACGTTCTCCTGCTTGACGAGGGATTCGAATCTGGACCTCCGCCGTCCTCACCTGATCCTCTGATCCTCTATGCTGTTCTAACACTCAATTATCTCTCCGTGCCAGGATGATTCTTGCTGTGGTGGGTGGCCTCGTCTTCGGAAGTAATGGCTATTATATTGCCTTAGCCTGGGCGTCTTGCGCTCTGATGTATTTCATGGTAAGAACCACATTCTGAGTTTTTTGGGAGGTTTTTTGTGGCAGGGGGAAAGGTGGGAATTTGATGCCCCTTCGGCTCCACAGAGCAGGAATCCGGCTTGACAAATTACAGTGGTGCCTCGCTTAACGAGCGCCCCGCTGAGCGATTAAATCGCTTAACGAGGGGCTCTGGGCCATCACTGGAGCATTCGCTCAGCGATGGCCCCTATGGCGTTTTTTCGCTTTGCGATATTCACTAAGCAATTCACTTAGCGAATATCGCATAACGAAGCGGGGGAGAACAGCTGATCGGCGGTTCCAAAATGGCCGTCGGAAGGTCCGCGCTGCATTTTCGTGCCCTGCCCTCGCTTACTGAGGGCGCGAAAATGGCGGCGCTATGGAGGAAGATCGCTTAATGGTGAGTTTTAAAGCCATAGGAATGCATTGAACGAAGTTCAATGCGTTTCTATGGCTTTTTTATTTCCGTTTAGCGGTGTTTCACTATAGCGATGGTTAATCCTGAACGGATTAACCTTGCTATGCGAGGCACCACTGTACTTCTAAAAACCAATCCGTTACAGTTAATTTCAGTCACTGCTGCCATTAAGATAGCTGAATTCTGCTACATTTCACAGGAAGGAACTGAGATCCTTGCTCTTTCAGTTACCCTTTTTGAAAAGGTAACTAAAGGAACTTTTTTTAAAAAAAAAAGTAACTGAATGTAACTAGGCCAAAATGTAACTGAATAACTAATTGTCAACATAAGCCCAACTAAATTGAACAAAATGTTCAGCCATTTCTGAATGTGACTGGCTTGGGATACCTAACCAAGAAATGACAAGAGTTCCTTTTAAAAAGAAATTTCTAAAATCCCATAAATTCCAGACTCGGCAAAAAAAAAGAGCAACATTATTTCCCATCCCTGTACAAATCACGGATCTTTTGTTACATGTGTTAATAATTCCGTGTCGCCTTTTTTTATTTTGCCAAGACGTGTAACGAAAAAATCAGATGACGGAGATAAATGATCAAGGTGTGTGAAGACACGCCAATCAGGGGAAAAAATAAAATAAAAACGATTGCAGCCTGAAAAATAATGTTTTAAAAAAACAATGAAGGCTTGAAGGTCTTGCTCTCCTTTCTGAAGCCACGAGAGGGTGCCGTGAACGAGAAAGAAAGATGCAATTTTGAATTAAACATTAGGGAAATCTCTTGCCCGGATTCGCAACAAAGCGTTAACCACTGGGATGGTGTCATAGCAACGTGCACTACGGCTCCCATCAGCCTTGGGCCACACAGGTTGGGGGGCCGATGGGAGTTGTAGTCCAGCATCTGGACAAGCTCGGGAAGAGGGGGGAAACGAGACGGCCTCCGTTTGACGGCGACCCCTTCTCTGCCTTTCTCAGGTCCGCTCCTTACGGATGAAGGTCCTGCCGTCCCTCGTCCAAGAGGGGATGGGCCGGCCGAGCGGGCGGGCGCAGATGTACGTCACCCTGGCGGCCGCGGCTTTCCAGCCGCTGATCCTCTACTGGCTGACGGTGCAGCTGGTGCATTAAACCCCGACGCCGGGCGTTGAGGGGAGGCGAGTGTCGAAAAAAACGAAGCGACGTGAAGAAGACCATTTCTGCAGATAGATGGCTCTACCCCCATCCACCGCCCCCCCCCGGTTTTATCCGGACTGTCCGCCGTTTGCCGCCTTGATCTTGGCAGAAAAAGGGAAGATCATTTTATTTTTTAAAAAAAGTGGCGGTGCAAGTGCTGGTCGAAAGATCTCGGCCGGATCCCCTCCCCGAGGCCCTTGATCGGGTGGTTTTCTTCCTACCTGCCCTCCTTGCTGGAAAACAGGACACGGGGCGGCCAAGAACCGGGGGGGGGGAACCCAAATCATCTTGAGACGTCTTTCTTCCCCGGATCTGTCTTAACTATGCAAACCTTGAAGAGCAGAATTCCCCATGTCCCTTTCCTTTTTTAGATTTTTTCTCCTCCTTGGTTTAACACAAAGTGCCATTTCGTGCCCGGCCCGTTCCGGCGCCCGACTCTGTTCCTCTCGCTCCATTTAAGTAATGGCTCTTCCTTGTTTCCCAGCTGGGGGTGAGGTTTGGCCCGCACTTTCCCCCTCCTAAGCACCGGCAGCTCTCTTAGCCAGAACCCTTCCTTTTTCCCGCACGTCCCCAAATTTACGGCCTTCGCCAGCCATGAACGAAGGTTTATTCTCGAGGTATTTTTATACACGCCACCTTGTTCTCTTTAAGTTGACTTTCCTTGATTGAACAGCACCCCCCCCCAACATTCAGGCGAGCTGTGCGTTGGGGCGGCTCAGTTTTTATTTTTTTAAAAATTGTAGGAAATCTGCAGAAGCCAAGCCTTGCATGGTATCTCCTATCAGAGAGAGGGGGGTTATTATTATTTTCAACGAAAACCAACTTATTTTGACTTTTCCTGCCCTTTTCAAGGAGGGCGGGCTTGTGAAAGCAACGATAAAACTTGTACAAACTGGTTCGGCCTCGTGTGTATGTCTGGATCTTTGCTGTTTCTTTTTCTGTAAGTTCCAGCGTCTGTCTCCCTGGTTTCTCTAGACCAGCGGTTCCCAAGTTTGTGTCCCCAGATGTTCTTGGACTACAACTCCCAGACATACACCCGGCCAGCCCAGCTAGAGGTGAAAAGGCATCTGGGAGTTTTAGCCCAGGAACATCTGGGTACCCAAGGTTGGAAAATACTGCCATCTTTGCTGTTTCTTCTTCTGTAAGTCCCAGAGTCTGTCTCCCCGGTTTCTCTAGACCAGCGGTTCCCAAGCTTGCGTCCCTAGATGTTCTTGGACTACAACTCCCAGACATACACCCGGCCAGCCCAGCTAGAGGTGAAAAGGCATCTGGGAGTTTTAGCCCAGGAACATCTGGGTACCCAAGGTTGGAAAATACTGCTCTATATCGTAAAACTACACACAAGAACATATTTCTTGTGTGCATATGTGCAATTCAAAATGTGCTTGTAAAACTACACACATTGTGTGCATATGTGCAATTCAAAATGTGCAGTTTTATGTTGAACTACTACTCCCAGATGCCTTGGGAGTGGTAGTTTCAAAGCACCGATCTGCACCTCTCCGTGTGAAATAGGGCTTGATAGAGGTTTTGCTTTGTTTTTTGCACTTTGCAGTCTTTCCCTATCACCTTCTACATTTTTCTTTCCAGTTAACAACTTTGTGGTCTGTTGGAATGTATTACCTTTAAATACCAGCAGGGGGCGGTAGTATCAAGCTGGGAAAATCCTGGGTCAGTACAATATGTATTTAATAATCTATGCTTTGTGTTATGATGGGTTTTTTTTAAATGGCTGGTCTGGAGGGGGGCATGTAGTAGAATGGAACACCCTTTTTTTGTTTTCTTTTTGAAGGCTAAGCATCTCTTCAGTGCCTGCCTGGGGGAAAATGCAGCTTTTTAAAATTATAAGCCTTTCCTTGTCTGTCTTCTGGATCAGCCCCTCTCTCTGTAAGCGCCTGCAAATTAAAAGCCATCCAGATCTCACCTTGACAAAGCCGTTTTTAATAGCAGCTAACAGCTGTGGCGAGGGTAAGGGGATCAATCTTGCTTACTTTCACCCGGTTGAAAGTTTATGGATTTTCATAGGTCCTCATAGGGAACTGAAATTATGTCCATTTTTCTCCTCTTTCTAGTCCCCAAAATTAGATGGGATTCAAAGCCCAAAAAACTGGAGAACAGAGACCTGAAATGCTTAGGATCTCAGTATTAAGATTCTGGATTTGAAGGTGCCAGTTGGATTGTGAAATTGAGGGGGGGGAAAGAGGGGGAAAGGCAAATTTCTGTAACCAAGGGGTTGCACTTCATCTTAGAAGATTATAAACCAACGATGGAAAAGATTTAAGAATGCATGTCACGTAAAGGATGTTCAGGCTTTTTAGATGAACTTTCAAATTTGATCTGCGAGTGTCTAAATCTTTAGACTAAAAATTGAGGGTCGTCTTATACACGGAAGTAAGCTGAGGAGAGAACAAAAACAAGTGGAGGAGAAAGCAGGGATCAAAGCGATCCTGCAGCGCTTAGATCCCTTTCCCCCTCCACTTGCTAAGCCCCACTTAGATTTCTTAATTTTGGATTAGAAAAGGGGGGGGCATTTTATACATGGGGGTGTCTTATACACGGAAAAATTACAGTATGTTGCAGTCTCTGGATGCCTCTAGTGGCCAGGTCTGGTAAGTACACCCTGGATATCCGTAGGTATTTCTGGGGGGGGGGTTGAGTTTTTTCAGCCAGCGGATAAGTGAATCAGCAGATACCGATCCTTTGAATGGGGAGGGGGTTTCCTCCTTTAAGTACCAATCTGAAAAGAAGAAAAAAAATGCTGGAGAGCTCGGCGGTTGTTAAATGGCTGAATACCTCAGCGATTCAGGTCTCTGGCTGCGGAGCCAGAGGTTGGGAGTTTGATTCCCCTGATGGGCCTCCTTTGACAGGGGCTGGACGCGGGGATCCTTTCTAGTTCTGCAGTTCCAAGTTTGTGATTAATATTGAGAAACGGTGTAAGAAAGCACTCTAGGAGATGTGTAAGTGATTGTTAGATCATCTAGCTGAGGGTTTTTAAAGGTTTTGGTTGAGCGTCGTCGCGGCCGGCTCTCGGGATGCGACCGGCGGAGCGGCCCTCCCGGCCCACGATGCCGTGTTTTCGGGGCATCCAGGGCAAAGCCTGATGGCGTTCCAGGGGAGAGCCAAGAGGGAGCAGCAGGCCAGGATGAACCAGCCCGGAGGGGGCAAAGGTCAAAGCTGGGGGGGAGCCGCCAGAGAAAGGAAAGCTAGCAAAAACGGCTTGGGTTCCAGCCCCAAGCATCAGGACGGAAGCGGGCCAGAGGGTGGCGACGCAGTCCGCATCCGAACACGGATTCTTCTCTCGTTGGAGAGCTGCCTGCCTTCACCGATAACGGGGGCGGCTGGTGGCGCTTGGCACCTCCCTTGCCATTTTTCCTTCTCCCAGACACTCATTCACAGTACTCTTCTCCGTGCCAGTCTTAACGCACGGCGCCCGCCCACACGCGCCGTGTTCTCCGGCACAGTCTTCTGGGTCAGATGCTGTGCAGTTGCTGGAGGATTTTATTTCAATGTATTCGGTGCTCACGCTCCCAAGTGCCGACGGGTGGAGAGGCCGAGGAGTCGAAGGTGGAAGCAACCCCAGGTCCCTTATCCTGCATTTCTGCACATCAGGAGCATAAAATCTTTATCCCATCGCTCTTAAGCAAAAGGGGTTTTCCCTTCTCTCCACACCTGGTTTTCTTTGGAACATTCTCCTGGCTGAGGAACGAGAAATAAAACCACCTCTCTCTGCCAGGTAAAGGCAGTGCCGATTAAAACGGGGTCGAGGATCGCCTGTTCTCCAACCTTACGGTTCTCGTTGTTGAAAAACAGCCACCGCACGGCGTTCCTGGTTATGTTTTCCGTGTTAAAGCGGAGAAACCAAATCGCTTGTGCTCTGTTGCCAGAAGACTCCAGAGATGCTCTTGAGCATAAGGGCCCCATGTGTGGCTTTTCCCTTCTCTCTCTCTCTTTTTCTGAGCGAGTGATGGGATTCTTTCTGCCCCCGGGCAAAGCACCTGGGTTGCGAGGAAAGAAATGGAGGAAGACCCACCTGGTTGGATAAAATCAATTTCGGCTTTGCTTCCCACGAAGCGGAGGTCTCGGATGTAGGAACTGCCTGAAGGCAAGTAGTATTTGAGGATTGTTTTTTTTTTTAAGGCTGGCTGATCACCTTCCCCGGGGAAGGAAAAACTCTGCTGCCTTTTACGAGTGTTGACATTTCCACCCGATTCTTAAAGGCGACCGGCCCTTAAGCCTACTTGGGATCTATGTGGATGACGTTGCCCTGCGATGTCCCTCAAACACTGTCCTGAGGACACCACTAAGCCGAGGGTGGCTTTCCAGGCAAATCAAGGGCTGTGTTGACTCCTTTCTTTAAAAGAAGGCAGATTGCACATCAAGCTTGGGGAAAATCCTGTTGGGTGCAAAATACATGACTCGTTCAGGGGCTGGTGGATCCCTTCATTGCGCTGACGGCTATTGTCCGAGGGGGTTGGTCTAGATGACCCTACGAGGTCCCTTCCAACTCTATAGTTCTGTCATTGTTTAGTAACCACAGATTTCCCTCTTTCTGCTTGTTAGGTTGGGCTTTCGTTTCAAGGCTACCTGCCTTGGGAGGTGAGCAGCTTGTGGCTATCCAAGAGTGTTGGACTACAAAGCCCATGGTCCCTCACCCTTGGCAGGGCTAGCTAGGACTGATGGTAGCTGGCATCCAACTACCTCTTACAGTGGAGGGGGGGAGGCTAAACTCATCTGCCCTTGATCTCCATGCTGCCACCCCTTCACCCTTTTGCCTTTTCCTCAAATCCTTTCTCAAACACCCAACTTTTTTTGGCCATCAGGTCTGGAAGTGGCCTTACCCGGGTGAAGCGAAACGGATGCCCGCCAGGTGGCAGCCGCCTATCAGGAACATACGGGCTGCGGGGCGAGCAGAATCCAGGTGCAAAGGGATGGGGAATGGAGACCCCCCCTCGCTTTGAAAAAGTTCCTATATTGCCGAGGAAGACGATACTAGACAAAGGTGGGAGAGGCCAGATGGAAAAGAAAGGTCCTGTTGTGCTTGGCAGCACAGAGTTTAGATGCGGAACTGACCGCCACAAGATTTAGTGATGGCTGCCAACGGGGTTGGGCTTTAAAAGTCTACTAAGGCAGGATGGCAAAGATTCCCCTTTTTGGTTCAATCGGGGATGGCTCTTGTGTTTCTGAATGGAGAAAAACCAGCTGGCAGAGGCAGCTTTCTGTGTTCCTCTGAGAGTTGGAAGGGACCCCAAAAGGTCATCTAGTCCAACCCCAACATAAGCAAGAATGAAGAGACATAAAGTCCCGAGATGTGTCTGTCTCTTGTGTGTTTACATGTAAACCTATTCCTGTTTTTCTGGTTGCTGAGCCTCTTTACCTTATTTCAGACAAAAAGCAGACCTTTTCTTATTGTCGTTTCTAAAGGGCTAGGGGGTAAGAGATCCTTATGGATCTACTGCTATGTAACAGAAGAGCTGTGAGTAGACCTTTGCCGACTTTCTTCCTGTCCCGGCATAAAAGATTGCCAACTGGCAAACCCCACCAGGCTCAACCTGTGGCCCTCCAGATGACAATGGTGAGGGACGATGGGTATTGTAGTCCGAAACCTTCCAGAGACCGAGTTGTTCCACGAGGCGCAGGAAGCATTCTGGCTGTTGGAAAGCCCTAAACAAGAATCTGACAAATCATCGTGTTAGCACCTTTTTCCTCCCCCACAAGACTCACCCGGGGTTGCCAACTCCACTTCGCTCCTCTGCCTTTAACAGCTCGGCCTGCAGTCGCTCGTCCGTAACACATATCTTGTCTTGACGGATGTTATTGCTGCATCTTTTATTTCCATGTGTGTCGATTTAACTCACTTCAGTATATTTCAGTGAAAAAGCTTCAGATCTTGCTTCCGGTTGGAAGTATCGCCGTCGGTAGCATACACTCTGAACAGCGTCCGAAGCTGCCTGCAGACATCACATAATTCTGTCTGGCTTTCTATTGATCAAAAGCAAGTAAGGGTGGTCAACGTATTTCCCACCCACCTTCCCCAAATAATCATGGTATTATTCAAAAGCCATAATCAAATCTTTTTTTTAATTTAACGTGTGTGTTTGTTTGTTTTTTACAACGGTCCCCTAGAGAAACAACTGGAAAGAAAGGGGGATTTTTCGGGGTGTGTGTGGAGAGAGTTGTCTTTAAATGGAGCAAGCAAGAAAGGAAGAATTTTAAAATGTTACCACAACGATGGTCTTTTTTTTCCTGTTCACAAACTCTCCAGATTTCCACGTTTTCATTCTTATCTGTCGCACACACGTTTTGTTTTGACACAAGCAGGAAGGATTCGGCCCAATGCCTTTCGCCCCCCCCCCCAAGCTACAATAGGAGCGGTCAGAAAGATGGTCAAAGAGCAAAAGAAAAAGAAAAAAACTCAATTAATGAGGCCTCAGCTCCTGAACCTCTGAGGGCATCTTTTCAGCTGCCGATATTTCTATTCGTCCCCAGACTGTGGAAAATGGTCCCCAACTGCCCTGAGAAGCATATAAATAAGCCAGTCTATTCCTTTTTGCTGTTTTAAAAAGATCCCTGCACCCTTTTGAAAATGGGCAAGCCTAGATCCATACAAGATTCAAAGCTTCCAAAGGAGGCAAGAATGCTAGCCATGGGCACCTCTGAGAATGCACAGAGTGCCTTTACTTGCCTAGATAAATCGGTGGCTCCCTCCTGACTCTGAGGTAAGGAGTTTAGCAGCTGTATAAAGTAGAGCAATAAGATAAAGGCCCGACACTAGAATCAATGTGTACATGTGTAAAATTAATCCACCTTTTTTAAAAAAAACCAAAACACCCTAAAATTAACATCATAGGAAGATACTAGCAGATGGCAACCCCAAAGGGTATGTAATAATTAGCGCCTGTGTCATTTTAATTTGCTAGGACTTAAACATAGCTGAACTTTGTAGAAAAACACGAAACTAGGTCTTGGGGTTTTAGGCAATAAAATATAATAATAATTCCAGGCTTATAATAATAGGCTTGGAACCGCAGCTGTAGATGGGACCATCAAGTCATCTTCATAGCCCATTGTTGAGCTACTGGGGAGTACTGTATCTGCTTTTGGTGGCTTCAGCAGGCTGGGGAGTACAGTGGTGCCTCGAAAGACGATGTTAATTCGTTCAGTGAAAAATGTCGTCTTGTGAAAGCATTGTCTTGCAAAACGCAGTTCCCCACTGGAATGCATTGAAATCTACTTAATGCGTTCCAATGGGGGAAAAATCGTCGTCTTGCGAAAATCGTCCATAGAAAAATCGTCTTGCAAAGCGCAATAGCGATCGCAAAAACCAATCGTCTTGCGGATTAATCGTCCCGCGAGGCAATCGCCTTGCGAGGCACCACTGTAGATGGTCCCCCCAAGATTCTGCTGAACTACAAACCCCATCATCCCTCACCACCCACCAGCTGGCTCCAGAGTGCGAGGCGCGCAGCCACCGCCAAAGAGCCGCAACCATTCACTAGAAGCGTGTCGAGTTGGTTTGATTGGGCTGTCGTTTATATTCCAAGCCTCCGTATGTTATCCTCTGTATGTTCTATTACTTTGCAGGCATTTGTGCTGGCTTTTGGGGACAGGGGGTGGTTTCTTTTCCCACCACAACCCCCTGCTTCCCAAAATGAAGCATGCCTCCCCCTGAGGGAGCTGCTGGTTTTAGGGAACTGGCTAGAGGTTGGGAGTTCGAATTCTCCACTTTGACTCCATGACACATAAGGGTTCCTTCTAGCTTTGCAGTTCCATAAAAAGGGTTTTCCTTCCTTCCTTCCTTCCTTCCTTCCTTCCTTCCTTCCTTCCTTTCTTCCTTCCTTCCTTCCTTCTATCCATCACCAGCTCCTTCCCAGATGCTAACAGTGAGGCCTGAGAAAATTTAGGGGCGGGGTGGGGAGGCTGCACAAAATTTTTTTTAAAAAAGCTAGTGGAAAAGACAGGCTGGGGATGTTGCCATGACAACAGAGAACCTCAGCATCCCTTCCCCGTCTGACAACCTCCAGCAGCTATGCAACAGAAAAGAAAAAAACGAAATAATATTAATTTTAAAAAAAGCAGCACATCCTGTACGCCGACTCTCTGTAGACGGATAGTCTTTCGAGGGGGCAGGCCTGTCCCCCATTGTCAAAATCCGCTCCCCCCCCAATCTAATCTCTCGGTTTTAGCCTTCTAAAATGGCTACCTAGTTTGCCTGGTGTGGCATATATATAATGGCTCTCCCTTCTTGATTTTTTTTTTTAAAAAGAGAACGTGTAAGGTTTTTCTAACCCTGCTTGCTCCCCACCCCAAGCGACAAGTGGCATCTTGTGGACCCCGGAGGCTGAGATTTGGGGCGACGGGGTGGGTGTCCGAAGATCAGCTTGGGAAAAAGATGCCGCACTCGCTCTCTCCCCCCCCCAAAAAAAAGCCTTTTTAAAAAATCTCACAAAGTCAACGAGAATCGCCCCAATGCCTGCCGGAGTGAAATAAACCTTGTTCGGTTGTCTGCGCGGAAGCGATCCAGAGGCGCAGACACCTCACCACAAAATACAATCTTGGCTGTTCTTCGCAGGGGGTGCAAAAGGAGGGGGGGGTTGTCCGCTGAGAGACAGGCCGCGAGGTTTATTTTCCTAAATGTAGGATCTTATTCCTGGGCGTGAAATGGAAGTGGTGGGGCAGGATCCATCCCCCCAACTCCGTTCCCCTAAATCCAGTATGAGGCAGAAGCGTATTAAGAGTCCAAGGCAGCCAATTTTTTTTTAAAAAAGAGAACGTGTTAGGTTTTTCTAACCCTGCTTACTCCCCACCCCAAGCGACAAGTGGCATCTCGTAGACCCCGGAGGCTGAGATTCGGGGCGACGGGGCTGGGTGTCCGAAGATCGGCTTGGGAAAAAGATGCTCTCCCCCCCCCCCCCCGGAAAAAAAAGCCTTTTAAAAAAATCTCACAAAGTCAACGAGAATCGCCCCAATGCCTGCCGGAGTGAAATAAACCTTGTTCGGTTGTCTGCGCGGAAGCGATCCAGAGGCGCAGACACCTCACCACAAAATACAATCTTGGCTGTTCTTCGCAGGGGGTGCAAAAGGAGGGGGGGGTTGTCCGCTGAGAGACAGGCCGCGAGGTTTATTTTCCTAAATGTAGGATCTTATTCCTGGGCGTGAAATGGAAGTGGTGGGGCAGGATCCATCCCCCCAACTCCGTTCCCCTAAATCCAGTATGAGGCAGAAGCGTATTAAGAGTCCAAGGCAGCCAGGAGAAGAAAGTTGATTTTTTTCCCCCTTTCCTTTTTGCAGTGTTATTGGCTTCAGACATTGAGAAGGGGGTCCGTCCCACCCCACCAGAGTTGTAGCACGTCGCTCCAGGTAGTCCAGGTAGGGGCGTCATCCTGGAGAAGTCGTCCGGAACCAGGCGAGGGACGGTCCATTCCTTCGGGTCGGCGCCATTAGAAACTCACCAATGTATAAACCATACTGAATGGTGTCGGGGAGAGAAAATAAAGATGGGGGGGGAGAGAGAAAAAAAGACATTATTACCAAGCATAAAGTCATGAACGAGAGCAGTTTAAGAAGCTAAAACTTGGTCGTGTTTTAGAGACGCCGTTCCAGCAAACCTCGGTGGCTTAGGTAGTCACACTTGCTAATGAAGGTGGTGCTTACCTCCCGATGGCCAATCACGAACCAGAATGTTTGAACGGAGCTGCTGGGAATGACACGCACACACACGGCCTGGCTGCAAACACAACCCACAACACCTCACAAGGCGCTCTACACATGGTGTCGTTGTCCCCCGAGCACCATCGTAAGCCACAAAAGAGCCTCAAGGTTCAGGAGCACTGTACCCTTGGAAAATGCTGGAGAAGGGGGACCAAGCAGGGTTGGGCTGGAGCTGGCAGACTCGGCTGCTGGTCCACTCCGAGGCATCCATTTGTGAGGAAGAAGAGGGTGACCTAAACAGGCCTTGAGTCGGATTCACCGCCACCACCCCATTTCCTCCTGGAAAACCATTATCAGCAGAAAAGGCAGGAGACGGAGACGGTCCCTAAATCTCAGCCCATAAGCTGATTCTGTTAAAAAAAATTCAAATTTTAAATTGTATTTACTGGTTCTGCGTGCATTTATGCCCCGGCAGCTGTTGACTCCCATTCTGGGCTGCTGTGAATCCAGTCCAGGTTTTAGTCTGTCCCTTACAAGGAGCTTCCCAAGTTACTGAGCCCTGTCCCAAATCAGTTCCAGCACCTTCCTGTAAAAGACAAGCTAAAACCTGGAGCGGATTCCCAGCACTTCTGGAATTGGTGTCATCGGCCACCACAGGTTTTAAATGATATTTTCCTTGTCTTCGTTCTCTGGGATTTTTTTCCCCTCCTCCACCTGTATTTTTCCTGCTGCTTTATTGAGTTTTCACAGATTCAATTCAGTCTTGTTTACTCTGTATTATTGATATATTCAAGGGAAGAACAGTGTTAAGTCTCGGCGATTCGGCTGCTGCAAGGCACACACCACTGTGAATAAAATAGAAAGGCACACAAATGTGTCATCAAATTAGGGATATATGCAATAATACGAACAAATGCTGCTGAAGTGTCTTATGTAAGAAATGTATTAAATCTAAACCAGGTATTTTTGTTCTATACCATCAAGCAGCTTCTAACTCATAGAGGTTTTTTGAGGCCTGTATGATGTCAAGATGTGGCTGCCCAGTCTGTACCCTATGGAGGCAGTGACAGATTTTACCTTCTTTACCCTGGCTGAGCAGGGATTTGAACCTAGGTCTCCTGACTCCTAGAAGGATACTTCTTGCGCTACGCCATATTGGTTCCCATAATTAGGGGCTGACACGTCGATTCCGATGTTTGGGGAACCTTCGCTGGGCTTTCTTGTTCTGCATTATGAGGGTGAAAGAGGAGAGTGCAAAAAATGGTCTGAAACTCAACATCAAAAAAACTAAGATCATGGCCACTGGTCCCATCGCCTCCTGGCAAATAGAAGGGGAAGATATGGAGGCAATGACAGATTTTATTTTCCTGGGCTCCATGATCACTGCAGATGGTGACAGCAGCCACGAAATTAAAAGACACCTGCTTCTTGGGAGGAAAGCAATGACCAACCTAGACAGCATCTTAAAAAGCAGAGACTTCACCTTGCCGACAAAGGTCCGCATCATCAAAGTTATGGTTTTCCCTGTAGTAATGTATGGAAGTGAGAGCTGGCCCATAAAGGAAGCTGACCGCTGAAGAATTGATGCATGTGCATTAAATGTGCATATAAATGATAATAGGAGCTAAACAACACCTCTAGTAAGATTTTTCTGGATCTGTTTGAGGGATGCATTTACTTACTAAAAACTATACAGTACACACACATTTCAAGTAACTTCTCCTGGTGGTGCTCCAGGCAGCTTGCTCAAGGTCTTGCTAATTGACTGTTCTCCCAAAAAGCACAACAAGGAATTAAATGCATCCCGGTCCTCCAACCCACTAAGTTATCCAGGCAGTCTAAGGAAGATATCAAATTCTAAGAAAAGGAATACTGTATAGCACAAGGCATATGCAACATATACATGTGTATGTGTGTTAAATATGCATATAAATGATAATAGGAGCTAAACAACACCTCTAGTAAGATTTTTCTGGATCTGTTTGAGGGATGCATTTACTTACTAAAAACTATACAGTACACACACACACACACACACACACACACACACACACACACACACACACAGGTGTGTGGTCATTCCAAGCCCCTCTGCAGATGCTGAAAACCGCGGATAATAGCAAACCGTATTTGTGGCATTGGCTTTGGTGCCCTCTAAAGGCCAGTTCTGGTAACTACATCATGGAAATTCATATTTCTGTGTTTTTAAAATATTTTCAGACCACAGATGAAACTGCGAATATCGATCCCGCAGATACAGAGGTCCTAATGTATTTACAAAAGCGACTAAAAGATATTTTGAGGAGGTAATTCCTTAATTCTGTTTGCTGATTACTCTTGTCACTGCATGTGTATGTAAAAGTATATAGTCCATATTTTTCCTGCACTTTGTGTTTAACTATTTCATGCAGTAACCCTTTATCTCTGTATCTTACATATATTTGCAATATGTGCCTTGTTCTAAATCTACTATTTCGTGATACTTCCAGTTATTCATTTATTATTTGCTAGCTTTTGGTAGATTTACTGTGGTTCTTGCGTAAAATTTTCTAGCAATACTTTGGTGTGTTGGCGCATCCATTTCCGAATTTGACCACGTTCCCAGGCATTTTTATGTTGCACCCACAACAGTGTGTGTGTGGCCTCCAGCAGTTGTGTGGCACAATGTTGTGTTATTCTCACATGGGGCCCCCACAAGAGGATTTTTCTGCCTGAGATAAAGCGCAACAGCGTTGAATCGTACTTCAGAACTGGCAATGGAGTCGCATCCGGTACCGTACAAGAAAACCGAAGGCCCGTTTAAGGCCCCAGAGACACTTTCCAGATGGGAAAAGTAACTTTTCCACACACACAGGGCAGCCAGCTTGGTCCACCCATAGAAAGAAATGGCTCGAGCCGAACGGCCAAGAGGCCAATCCTGACATTGTCCCCCTGATGCAATGGCCTCAGTTTTCTCGTCATGACCTTCCCTGGAGAGGAAATTTCAAATAAAGGACCCAGGACTCACCTGTACAGGTAATAAAAGAAGGATAAGAGATAAAAGGCCAGTTTGCACCACGACTCTTTCTGGCAGTAGTTCAAGATGTCGGCGTTCATAATGGAGACGGCGTCGTACATCACCTCCGAGCCGTCTGCTGGGCGGTGAAAATACCTGGAGGAAGAACAGAGGGTGTGACAATTCCCAAAAAGACATTCTCCCCTGAAATGTGCAGTGAGAATATCCATCCATCCATCCATCCATCCATCCATCCATCCATCCATCCATCCATCCACTGACTCATCCATCCATCCATCCATCCATCCATCCATCCATCCATCCATCCATCCATCCATCCATCCATCCATCCATCCATCCATCCATTGCAGTGTCTGCTCAATAAATTGCAGACATTAATAAACCAAAAAGCCATCCATCCATCCATCCATCCATCCATCCATCCATCCATCCATCCATCCATCCATCCATCCATTGCAGTGTCTGCTCAATAAATTGCAGACATTAATAAACCAAAAAGCTGTCCAGGGAGCACAGTGGGTTCGGCCTCCGACTAAAGACCTTGTAGAGGTTGGGAGTTCGAATTCCTCACCGTACTTCCATAACGGGCTGGTCTTGATGATCTACGTATATAGGGTCCCTTCCAGCTCTGAAGTTCTAAGAGGGAGATGATTAAAAGGCCACTGGGCGTTAGGGTCAGGTGCGTTTCTGTCCAATAAGCAACACCCCACTTTTTTTGGGGGGGGGAGGTAAGCACCCCCCAATTTTCTGCCTGGCTGTAAAGCTCTGCAGAAGAACAACCCCCTCTATATCTCTCTCTCCACCCTGTTTTTCGCCGTCTCTACATTAATTTCCCAATATCTTCTGGGTTCCAAGGACACCTACTTCAAACCAACAGAGACAGACAGGAATAGAACACAATCTAAGTCTTCTTTCAGGTTGTTCCCTGTGCAGAGATTTTTATAGCCCCTTGAGCCATTTATCATAGGGGTTTTGTGTGTGTGTGTGTGTTTTAAAAAGTTTTACAGCTCACATACTTAAAAAAAAATAACACTTATGTGTAGTTTTACAGTAGGGGCTTTCTCTTGCTATTCTCTGCTTCATTTCATCCGCTTCAGTTTAGTGATGTAAAGTTTCTGAAAATTTCCATTTTTCTTGGGAGGGGGGGAACAGGGGGGAAAACATCCCCACCAACCTCAAAAAATGTGCCGTTTTTTCTGGGGAAAAATGTGTTTTGTTTTGTTTTTTCAAAATTTCTGGGGGGGGACATGCTTCCCCCCCCCCAGAAAAAACAAACAAAGGGAATTGTCATCTCTCGTTCAGCATCCTACAATACAAGCCTGTATGTATGTGCATGGATTAAGGACACCACGGAAATGGATCCAGGAAACCTTTGATTTGAGGTTCTCTTTAATTCTCTTTATCTGTTTACTAACACACACAGACTGTTCACCGGATTTCCCACAACGTATATTACTATGCATCGTCTTACCATGCCAGAAAAAGAAGGGTGGAAGGAAGAAAATTAAATAATCCAACGGAAATGACAGGCACAACATAAACTGACAAATTACCAAAAAACACGGCTTAATTATGTCAATCCCTCGTAATGGGTTTGCAGTTCCACCCCCTACCCCGTCTTTTCCTCTTTTCTGTTTTGAGCAAGAGGAGTTATTATTATTACCTCTTGGATCCCCTGCTTTTAATCTCACATAATCCACTCGTTGATTTCGTCGTTACCATGCACTAATTAAATAACTCCCTTTTCTGGAGTGAGTGGTATAAGGAGATAGTTGGTGTTCTCCCATAGCAAAAATCTTGTGACACGGATCATGTTAACAGGGTTTGTTAAAGCAGAAATTGGTGAGAAAATGTGATGTATTCTGATGCCTCTTTTACTTATTTGTTTGTTTAATTATTTATTCAACTTCTAGACCGCCCAGATGGCGACCAAGGCCACTCTGTCCATTAGCGAAACTTAAATACAGGATGCACACCCAAAATAATGCTCGTTTCGCCTTGAGCGATCACTTCATTCTGCTTCCTCAAAGGGTAGATCATAACCTATGGTGCATCCTTTTATACTGATGCATCCTCTTATACTGTGTAAAGCATCAACCTTTGTACCGTGAAGGGGGGGTACCCGGGCATCAAGGTGCTAGCCCTCCGTGAGTCATGAATCCCAGCCCCGGAATTCGCACTCACCTCCACAAATGGTAGAAAAGCAGGGGGATGTTAAGCCCCAAGGTCACCCACTCTGCCGCACAGAGAAACATCAGGCAGAAAAGGCCATGGATGGAATATTCTGGAACCACCAGCTGCAAGAGGAAAATCGGGCGTCAAAAGTCAGCACGAAACCAAGGTTTTTCACACAACATTTTCCTATACACACACACACAAACTGTCCTTGAAGTAGTTCACAGAGCAGATGATGCCAGTGGTGGCTTTCATCGTCGGCATCAAGGTCGCGCCATGCACAAAGGACGACTCGAAAGCTCGCAAAAATTACACGCGGCGGCAAGTGGATCAAGGTAAAAGCCGAGGCCACGCACCGTGTGCGATGGGTTGATGCTGGAAGCATCCGGGAGGAAAATGCACTTTTAATATTTTAACAGAGTGGGAGGATCAGGATTCAGAAACAGCCAAGTTTGGCCAGGGACCCCCGTTCTGCTCTTTTGGCTGACACACAAAAAATAAAAGATGAGCTACAGAGCTTTTTAACGGAGCCATTATTGATTTTCCTTCTGCCTTGTTAAATGAAGGGTCCCGAGGGGTTCAGGTGGTGAAGTGGCAGGATCCAGACACCCGCCTCGCGCTGGCGCATCAAGGCAGCCCCTTGGAGGGCCAGGATGGATCCAGACACACCCCCAAGATCTCGGGGGTCACCAAAGTCATTTGATGAACGGCATTTTTTTAAAAGGGGGAAGGTGAAATGGGGGCGAAAGACCGCCAAGAGAACGTCACTCACCTTTCGCAAAAGGCAACAGATCCGCTCGATGTTTTTCAACCGCTCCCTCTGAGGAAAGAAAGAGAAGGAGGAATAAATGGGGGTCCCAAACTTGATGGGGTTGGGTTGGGGGGGGT